AAAAAAAAAAAAAAAAAAAAAAAAAAAAAAAAAATATTAGTTTAGTATGTATTCATTTTTTTTTTTTATATTAAATCATAAAAAAATATTCTTAAAGATACGTTAAATATTTTAATATTAATAAATTTTTCTTTTCTCCTTTTAAATATTTATATCCAATAAAATATAATATTTTTCTTTTTAGCATTTAAAAAATTAAATATATGATAAATATTTAGAATTGCATATGTATCTATATTTTTTTTTTTTTTAAATTCTTTTAATTTTAAATATATGAATTTTTTTTGAAAATAATTCTAAAATGTATTTTTTCTAAAAAATGTCTTAATATAAAAATATGGTAAGATTTGTTTTTCTGTTGAACTAATTCTTATAACAATGGAATTTTTCTTTTTTATTAATTCTTCTAATAAAATTCTTATATATGTTTTTAATTTATAAATATATTATTTTAGAATTATTCTTCATTTGCTTTTTTATCCATTTATTACTTTTTTTTTTTTTTTTTTTTTTTTTTTTTTAGCTTAAAAACTTATTCAAACTAAATACTCTTAGAAGAATTTCTAGTACAAAATACTCATTTAATATAAATGAATTGTAAATTAAAATTATATGAAATATGTTATTAAGTTTTTTTATTATATTTCTTTATTTAATATATATATATATATATATGTATAATATTTTTTTATAATTTTTTCCTATATTTTTTTTTTAGAATCATATATAATGACGATGATTATATTGTAGTTAACAAAAATTATGGAGTATCTACCTTTGGAAAATCAGAAAAAAAAGAAAGCATAAAAAAAAATTTACATAATTTAAATTTAGAAAATATAGAAAATGTTAATATAGTTTATAAATTGCATAATACTATATCAGGTTGCATTTTGATATGCAAAAATAAATTTCTTAAAACTCATAATTATGAAAATATGTTTATAACTTTAGTATATGGAAAAATAGAAAAAAAGAATAATGGAGAAATCAAATTACATTTGAAATATTTACCTAATTCTAATATTATGATTCCATCAAATAATTATGAACATATTAACGACCTAAAAATGTTAAAATATGATATTATTAGTAATACTATTTCGTATAATGCACATGATTTCACTATTTTAAAAATATATATAAATGCTAATAATTGCAAATATATAAAGCCATTATTGTTTTACTCATTATATACATGTATAGTGGGAGATAATGAATACATTAATATTCATAAAAAATTAAAAAAAGAATTTTTTTTTTTTCAACATATAAGAAATATAAAAAATAGTAAAAAATTTCTACTAAAAAAATTAAATGACAAAAATGAGAATAAAGAAAATCAAGAATTAAAATTACATCTTCATTGTTCTAATGTAACTTTTCAATCAACTTGTAACAAAATTATATCTGTTTCATCCCCATTACCTGTACATATTAAAGAAACGTTAAAATTATTAGGTTCTACTAATTTAATTGAAAAATTGGATAAAAAAGATCAAAATGACATTTTCACAAATAAATTAGACAAAAAAAAAATAAGTAAGAATATACTTGGGGACGAAATATTTTTGCAAAATAGTAGAGAATTCAATCAAGAAAAAAATGAAAACTTTTATGATGCATTAGAAGATGAAGACAATTTACAAAAGGAAAATGATGAATTATTAAATGAAATATATAAAGATAAAGATAAGAAAAAAAAAGAAAAGCAAAAAATCAAAAGAGGAGTGTTAGCAAAAGATTTTAATAAACTAACAAGTTCCGATGCACCTATTTTCTTTACTGACGTTAAATAAACTTAATTTATATCTTCTAATTTGATATAATTTTGTAAATTTTTTTTTTTTTTTATAACTTTATAAACTTATATTTAAATTATTATTATTTCTTAAGTATAATTAAAACATTTTAATTTACGATTTTTT